CCGTGAGCAAATCGTACTTTTCAAGTTTGTACTTTGTTTTACCACAATATGAAAAAAAACAGACGTGGGAAAAAACAAGCATTTCTTTAGCATTTATAATTAAAATACAGCAATGGAACTAGATCAGCGGTTCTTAACCATTTGTTTCCTTTCAATATTTATTTGTATAGTTGAGGTGAATTTGGAAAACTTTATTTAAAAATTGCATGAAATTTATAACAAATGTCTAAACATTGAGTTGTTAGGGCACACGTTGAAAGACCATTTTACTCTATTTCAGGTGTTAAAATATGAACTTCTATTAATTTCTTTCAGTGATTAGACGAACTGAATGAATCGTCAAAAGTTAATATCGTCGTTAACAATGCCGCCCAAGTGACATTTTTCCTAAATTCAGGTTTCCCAGAAAACACCTAGATAGCGCGCATCTCCATTGTCTAATACCGTTCAATTAGACTTTTAATCAGCAGTGTTGGGTTTCCACCCATTTTAAAAATACCGCCTATTTAAAATTCGTTGACAATACTGCTGATGTTGACTTTGATTTATCTAGTTTGAGCATTTATTGTTTAAGTGTGTACGTTGTTAATTGCACCTACCCCTTAATTGTTCTTATTTCAAATAAACATAAAAACCGCCTATAACACAGTTGCATTCATTTTTAATCAACTAATACCGCCTAAGTAACAGAAAACAATAAAAACCCGTATTTTTGAAGAGTTTGCAATTGAAGTAATAATTTGTTGGTTATTTTGATACAAAAAATCCAAAATTAGATCAGGTTTTCATTAATCACAGTTACGAAGCAGTTTTTGGTCTCCTGAAAAGTTGATATTATTGTACTTAGGCGGTACTGTTTCTTCAACAACGATATACTATTCCTCATTGCCCATTATTCTGACTCAGCTCCCGATTTTTGCCATCATGTACAATTTACTCACGGACTTTAAACTCATCCACAAGTTGACTGATTAATCACATAATCACATCTCAGAAATGTTTTACTAAATATATTTCAATATCTCTTTTTAGCACTTGAGTATTTATGAGTAAATTCCAATCAAATTTGCCATATTTAATACCAAATGAGACACTAGACAGAGTGTTTAGAAATTTGGATAGGATCTTTGAATGGTAAGTATAATGTATTAAGAATAAGCATTTTCAACAATTTGACAAGTCAAAATCGTTAAAATTTATTTAGAACCGCTGAAATCGTTCCCAACTTACATACTACATAAAAAGAGGCAAATTTTTTTCTAACTGTTTCTTAGGTTTTAGTTTTTGTGAAAAGACAGTTGTGCGTGTTAGTAAGTGCGAATTAATATATTAAAATGTCCCATCATTAACTAAACATGGTTGTAATATATGGAGTTGCTGATGAAAATGTACAGCAATTTCCAAATCGGCATGCACCGGTACCAGCTATGTTTTTAATTGTAGTGCAACAAGTACCTGTAATGAAGCTTATTTCACTAGCAATGGGACATTTTATTTCCTCGATAGCCAAAGCTGGACTATAGAACATTTATTGCAAATACTGCCGGAATTATTCCTGGAATCAGTGGTTCCAAAAATGTTTCTCCATATTATCGTGGCAAGTAAATATTTAAAATATAAGTACATAATTGCAAAAAATATTTCTACCTATCGAATTTTTGCGACCTAATTTTAATTTATGTACTCTTCAAATATCCTTTCCAAGTTTGTAAACATCCCGTAAGGGGCGAGCAATTAGAAATTTCTCATTTGGGAATGTTCACTAATGAAATAAAGGTAGATAACAAAGGACATGTCTCTAATTTTTAAATTCACACAGATTTATCAAAGTCAGATGTAAGTAATAGCAGGCGCTTTTAAAAGATTATAGATTCTAATAGATACCCACAAATGGAGAGATATGATCGGCCAACACACAAATTAATCAATAGTCAAATCTTTTGAATTTGGATACACCTCGCTGTAGGAGTATTTTAAGTTAAAACGGTTCCTAAAGTGTGAGGTTGCTAAAGGTTTTACAATATATATTATCATAAATTTATTACATATATTTAAAAAAATGATAAATAAAAAAAGAGAAATAAGCACTAAAATTTTAATTGTTCATAAGTACTGTAGGACAGAGAATGGGTTGCAACTTCAAAAAGTTCGGGAACCACTGGTCTAAAATATTCCGTGAAAATCGACAAAGACTTTATATATCAGTAAATAAGAAAGAGATCTTGTTCCTTAAGAGGTTATATCGCTGAAAAATTTTTTTTTTTTTCATTTTTTTATTGGCTTAAAATACGCTAAAACATTCCTAGATTCATAATCAAAAACTTTTTTGCATGAACAAGACTCAGAAGTATCCGTAAAATTAATTTTTCAGAAGCAATTCCGAAGCGTAAAAGTAGCAGATTTCACTTCTATCGTCGATGCAGCATTTTTGAATTTCATGTTTAAAAACACCTATACCGATCATCGAGAAAATATTTCAAAGGTGAACTATAGACGTCATCACAAGCAAAAAAAAAGGTTATTATACACGGCTGGAAAATCTACATGGTCCATATTATTATGATTTCCAAAAGTTTTCCCGAAACCATGTTTTTGAAATCGGAGAGCAGCAGAACTCAGAGTTTTCATCCGATCCACTTGAAAATTGAACTGTAACTTCATCGTGTGATTATCTAGTGAAGTACACACGATTTTTACAATTTATCATTTGAATTCAGAGTTGTGTATGCTCACGATCAGTTATCCTGAGATGCTTACGTACCTCACCAAATTGGATTTTTTTTATAAACAATCGGTCGAATTTTTGGCGAAAATTCGATTTTTTTGCTTAATCGATTGGTGTATGGTTGTTCATGATTGTTATAAAAGAATTATGGAAAAAAATTCTTGAAAAAAACTTTTTTTTCGGGCTCCAGTGATATAACCCCTTAACGAACCAGGTATATCACAGACCGGGTCTGTAGTATGCCTGTAACAGATGTGACCAACGCTGTACCATTTCATTGGAAATATCGCTTCGTCTGTGGGTACCTATTATTTTAACATTAATACATGTCCCAAGATGTACTATTATTTAATCTGTACTACCTATTAAAAACGGTAAAAACAAAAGCAAATGCCTTAAAATATTTGATTTATTTGGGAAGGTTTTGATATGAAGAGTTTATTAAGGCGTTAGTCTGGGATCTTTTTTTAAAAAATAGATTTTCTAAAAGTTTAGGTTGGAAAAATGTGACAAGAGTAGTGGTGCAAAGGAGGGATTCAGTGTTTGCTCGCCTATCGTGTCAAGGTCATTTCAGTTTAAGTTTTGGAATAGTTTAGTGTGAAATTTCGTGTAGAAAAGTCGCAAGATAACGCTCCATAAACAGTTCTACTGTTGTGAAAGTGCGCACACTCCACGTGGTAGTGGGGGAAGCAACCAGCGGAGGACTCTGGTTGCAGCTTACTTTCGATCGTTTCGGGCGACTTTCAAGGGAATTTTTAGCATATTTCCTATCACCCAGGCAAAAATCCGAGATATACAAATTGGAGATTTTGCCGTCTACTTTCAGATGCCGTTTTCAGAATTCAAATCAGACCATTTTTGATAAATCGCCACGCTGTGCAAAAAAGACCTTAATTTGTTTATAATGCAATTGTGCAAAAACTATGCATCGGACAGATACCATCTTGCGCACAATTAAACTACATATTATCTGCCATTTTCCGCAAGATTGTTTTTCCAGCTTTAAAGGACCCCGCACAAAATATATGGAAAATGGTCTTTCAGTAAATCTTGCTGAACAAAAGTCTCAATGACACCAGGATCAAAAAAACCTCACTCAAGGCTTGAAATATAGGAAAAAAGGTATTTCGTTGAATCTTGCTAAACACAGGTCAACATTTGATCCACAATGAAACACCCAAAGCGGTCTGGTTCTTATAGGGTTTTTGGGGTCGCTGATTACGATGAGTAGGTCAGTTAACCCTTTGAGTCATACATGATTCTACAGCACATTTTTGTCTGAATTTTTTTACTCGGGGGTTTTCAAGGTCTCTGATCGCGAATATGAAGTTAGATTTTCATAGTTTCGAAATCCAAGATGGCGGATCCAATATGGTGACCTCGGAAACATATTTGTGAATTTTTCCAGATTTTTTTGATGATCAGTTCACTACTTGGCCTACAAAATGACCTTGGCATGACCTTAAATGACCCTTGGGAGTCGTTGAGGGGTAAAACGAACTACGGTTTCGTGATTAGGAACCTCGGAAACATGTTATGAATTTTTCCAGATTTTTTCGACGTTTATTTCTCTACTTGACCTTCAAATGACCTTGAAATGACCTTGAACTACATTTTTTTATATATTTCAAGCCGCACAGTGGCCATAGGTGAGGTTTTTTGATTTTGGTGTCATTGAAACTTTTGTCCAGCAAACTGAAACCTACCTCTGCAAAATTTCAGCAAGATCTACCGAAAGACCATTTTCCATATATTTTGTGCGGACCCCGCATTTGATGGAGTTGTGAATTTTTGAAAAAAGGTTTTTCCGGAACTTCTCTGTAAAAAATGAACCGAACGGGTCGCACAAAAACCCATTTTATAGGATTTTTTATTCTTTACAAAAGTCCTATTGAGAGTAAGACGATTCCATAATTATTTTTCGAGATATTATAAAAAAAAACAAAAAATGTCATTTTTTGTAGTTTATATTGTTTAAAAAAAAATTGTTCACAACTTTGGTGGGGAAACCACTTGGGTTTTCATTTACTAAGTATTTTTCAAAAGGAAATACATGAAAATTGCTGAATTATATAAGTGTAAAAACAGCGTCTTTTTCACTCTATTGGTTGGCCTAACAGGGCTGCGTCTAGGCGGACGTACCAAAGAGATTTACCATGAAAAAAAAAGACAAAAAAAATTGAAAAGAAAAGAAAAAGAAACGAAAAAACGAAAGAAAAGAAACAAAAAAAGAAAGAAAAGAAACAAAAAAAACGATAGAAATGAAAAGACAAAAAACAAGAACAAATTTGTAATTTATGTGTAAAAAGACTGATTTAAAAATAAATTTTACTGAAAAAAAAAATTCCTGAAAAAAGTCATTGAGATCCCAGACCAACACCTTACATAAAATTTTTAAAACCTTCCGAGAAGAGTTTTCTTGGGGATATTCAACAAATAATAATTTTTCCACCCTAACACATATTCGAACCTAGTGACAAACTATTCGCTCATCATATCATGAATCGTACAGTGCCAACAGCAAAACCGTTAGCCCTGCCTGAAGTTCCCTTGTAGCTGTCGCCTTTTTTATGGTACATACAAATCAGATATTTCTTCAAAGGTTACCGTTAAACGTAAACAATTTTGAAAATGTGAATCGTTCAATCAAAATTTTCAAATGACTAGAAAACAAATCATTGTTATTAAAAAACCAAATTGCAAACCTTACAAAACGCTGTATCGTATAATAAAACAATATGCGAATAATTCCTAATACTAGAGTATAACATACGAATAACTTTTTGCAAAAGAAATTTTGCATTTATGGTTTGAACTTTGTTCTAGGTTATATATTATACATATAAAATAAAATTATAATTACAGTCACACATTTGTATACAAATTATATATAAAATAGATTTGGCTTACTTATTTTTATACCGCTAAATATTTGCTTCATCTGAATATGCTTAGCGAGGAATTTAGAAGATCTTGTAAATAACAATATAATATACCGGCTTGCGCCATTACGTCGACGGTCCCCGTCGCTAAACTATCTTTCTGCTTCCCGCTGTCCGCTTTTGTCCCAGGACGAAGTAAGGTCGGCCCAAACACTGTGGCCAAATTGTGCAGGGACATTTTATTTTCACTCTCGTGTTTGTAAACCCTATAAGAAATATTTAAGTTCCGAATTAGGTAAAATAGAGATATCAATTACATCACATTTCAGTCAACAAGTTATTTCTTCCCGATGTTAGCGTGTCATTTCTGTTGGCACCAAGAGTACGAGGAACACCCAAAAATAACCGAACATCACGCAGGAGCGCAAATGGCACGTACAATGTATTTCCTTGTCGTGATGATACGACGAAAAACAGCTGGATCGTTTGTCGGTTGTCTCACATATGACACACTGATGAGGACTAATAAGTCCTGAACTGGTCTGTGCCTGGTGGGTTAAACTGACGAACAACCCTAGCTGTTGCACTAGGTGCTGCGAGTATAATTCAATGCTGGTAGTTGCATATAGCCCTCGGAGCATTGTTTCTCGCAACACTGACAATTAAAACATTGTGTTACGCCCTCTGTGGGTGGCATTCGTGCAACAAGTACCTACAGTACAGCAGGTCGCTTCCTCCTGTAGCCATTTGAATTGCACAGTTGGAAGTCAGCACGACAGATGGAGCCATTTGCGTTTCCGCGTACAAAGGAACGATTTGCAACGAATATATTCAACAGAAAGTATTATAGATAAAACAACCGCAGATAACATCCTATTTTTGCACTCCTTCAGTGGCTGTGATACAACATCGGTACTCTTCAATCAAAGGAAAATAAAATGTGCCAAGCTAGAACTCGTCCGGGTATTTAAAAACCCAAATGTTGACTCAGAAAGCATTGCTAAAGCTGGAGAGCGCTTCCTCCTTGCGTTGTACGGTTACAGTGGTGTAAAAAGTGTCGTTAAACACCTACAGATATACATGCTTTACGAAGTCAGAAGAGTGGCGCAAGTGACAAATTTCGTCCGGTTACTTTGGGTCCCCATCGTAGATACCAAAATCAAGTGACATTAAATTTATTACATTTTACCGTAAAACTAAAACTGCGGTTTTCGAAAATCGCTATCGTTTTTTATTTGCACTGATAAAATACTTACTTTATTAAGTGATCCAGTATGCACTTGATCGTTTCACTGTTCTGCTGCGGAAGCTTGGCGAAACAACATTTAAGTAACTCGGTTCGACGAATCAAATTTCCATTACTCTGATTAAACGCCTCCAACAATTCTGGGTACAGCTGGTCCGTAAATAAGGCTTCTGGTAGTTCTCTTAAGTATAATTTTAGAATACCCGTAACAGAATGTATATCTACTTCTTTCAGTAACTGTTCAGCTTCATAAGAATCTGAAATTAAGAAAATCGATGATAATTATGCAATTTTCATTATTAGATATAGAATGTATAGAAAGTAAAAACAAATTGTGCCAATATCTCCAAGAGCAATTAATAATCAGTTATTACGTTATACATCACGTGTGTTTTTAGAGCGACTTCTTTGAGGTTAGGATTTCGAACTAACAATAATTGCGACTCAAAATAAAACACCACTAAAAAATTAGAGGACGAGGACTTCTGACCAGTTGCCTCAATCGTTTAGAGCAATACATCGGTATTTCTTAGAAATGACGACAAATATCAAATATGTGTTGATGTGTGGTGATATAACCTATAAAGCGTATGTCATATATCATACTGGCCTGGGTGGAAATAGTTTAAATAACTAGATAGATTTCACAGGGTCTAAGGACACTTACAGTGTAAGATAATTCAATAAACAAAGAAATCGAAATAAAAAGTTTAGATAAATTTGGAATGAATACACTGAAGATGAATTTTTAGACACAAAACGTCTGAATCTGATTCGGACTGAGGCAGTACAGTATTGGGGGTCATGAAGGCTTGCAAAAAAATGTAATAAAATTTCTAGGGTCGTATTTAAAAAAATTAGGTCGATGATGGTCCTGGAGAGACGAAACGTTACATATAAAAATTGATTATGCCATTCGATAGAGGGAAAAAAGTGGACATGAGAAAGTGTTCGTCTTTTTTCAATGTCACCTCAAACAAGGTTGAAATGAAACAAAAACGGATTTCCAAAATGTCATTTTTTTTTCAAATATTTCGAAAACTAATCATGTTAGCTTTGATTTTTTAGAGGCATAATGTTGGTCTCCTGATTACGCAACTTCGCCCCCATTTAAGCTAGTTTGTATCTCTTATTTCGAGATCCCTGTAGTGAGAAGGGAATTTGTAACAGCCTGTATAGTTATTTTTAATAGTTGTTAAATACAGCCAGTGAAATGGTATTCTACATGACATTTTTTGGGTTAAATTTTAACCATTTCTGTTAAGTTTAGACGTTAAAAAGTTCATTTTAAAGGTTCCTAAATTGGTGCCGTTAAACTAGTTTTTTTTTTATAAATTGAAATCTGAAGAGATAAATAGCATTCAATGGATTTATTCACATGGTACTTCTTGAAATTGACGAGAATAATAGACAAATGTAACTTTACTTTGAAAAATTCATATAATTATCAAAATGAGGTTAGATAATCCGAATTTCTATTCGATACTTTTTGAATTTTTGACATTCTTGAGGCACGAATGTTTTTCTTCCATTCCGACATATTATTATTTTACAATTCACAAAAATGGTAAATTGGTAGGTAAGGTAAACGATCTATTTTTAAAAAGTTAGGTTAAATATCAATACTTTGTCTTCTTCGTGAAATTGTTTGAGTGCATTTGAACTACAATTTCCGAATAACCATGATCGCTTTAATGGACACGCTATAATTTTAACTGTTAACTAGTTTGTTAAAAAGAACTTTACAGAATAGAGGAAAACATTAAAATCCAGAATTTTAACCATCCATCAAATTTAACCCAGCCGCTTACAGAATAGACCCTATTGCCACCTAAAATTTACGACCCTTTTCTCGGAAACTAAAAGGTTTGGCAAACTGACAAGTACATTTTTGTTTAGAATTAAAACATAAATGTCGGCAAAATTCTTTATAAAAATATTAACTTTGGCATTTACCTGAAATATTCCGTATAATAAAGCGACAGGTAAATAATATCTACTTACTTGTTTCAAAGGACTTTTTAAGCTTAGAGATATCAAGGGCGGAACCAGAGACACGGTATATGCCCACTTCAGACATTCCCCTCCTTTCTACTTCACGAATACATGCCGTCACAATAAACGGTACATTTCTCTTCTGCCGTCTAAAAATCCACAATCAGAATTGAAATTTAAAAAAATATAAGCAAACTCCACTTACTTGCAGACGGCTTGTATTTTTTCACCGAATAAGGCACCTATTTTTCCTGTAGGCACTCTACGTAAGCTAACTTCACATGGAATGTATTTTAAACCCATCCTCAATGTACAACCATTGATCGAGAGGTTCTTCTCTACCATTTGTTGACTTAGCCACTTCCTGCTTAATTTCTGAGTATGCTTTCCGAATAATGTAGCCGACGTTGCGTTATCCCTGTACACTAACACCCGGAGATTTTCGCACCCTTCTAAATCGATAACGAAATTTTCGTTCCACTGCGGATTGCTCGAATTACAAATTATTTTTGTCTTGGCTTTTTGGAAGAAATGACCATAAAAGTCCACTTCAATGCACACAAATAGATCTAAAAATAACCAAAGCTATAAAAAGCCTCATTTTACACATATATTTTTTTTAAATATGTTACTGTATTAAGAAAGAACAAAAACGGATTTTGAATTAAAAAGTGACATACATTGCAATTCCTGAAGAGCTTTAGAGAGAGAACACATCGATAATACTCACCACAAGGGAACTCCAAACCACATAAATCAAATATGTGCACATGTAGATCTCCCACAAGTAAACTTTCATCATTGCCGCTCCGTAAAAGGTAAGAACCCATATTAGTCTTCAAAAATTGCCTGCAGGCGGTTATCCACGTCTGCAATTCCAGCATGTTAAATGGAGGTGTTGGCAATTTGCCAGTCCTTTCGGTTTTTTGCAAGGTCAGAATTGCCTCGATCCACTGAGTTCTCTCAAAGTCGGACGATAGGAAGAACATATACGTCCTACCTGTGGCTTTGTTCTTTATTCTATAAACTAAATTCGGCGATACAAGTACTAATTGACTCTCTAGTTCTATCAGTCTTTTTCTATATTTGTCAGAGCCTCTAGACAACTTTGATCGGTTCTAAAACAAACGTATATTATCAAATTTATGCTAGCCGAACTGTATTGGTGTAAATTCGAACTAATAAAGACACTATACAGAGAGATTGTGTTTAGGTCCAAAATCTTGAGTTTTTTTTAAGCGTTCCTATGTTAGATTTTGAAAACTATAACAGATAGAAGAAATGAAGTTTTATATTGGCATATGAAGCCTACAAGCAAGCCCTGGGTTCCAATTCAAATGTTCAACCATGCGGCGGAGCCGAAAACCGCTTCAACGACCGAGACATTTCAGGGCCAGAATACGTTCCTGGGTGATTTTGGAGAAGATCGAGAAGTCGTACCTGCACAAGAAACTTCAATAATCACTCCTATTTCCAGCCAACCTTGACAAACCATTACGTTTGAGGAGAGCGACAGATTCCCAAGAGTCAACATTCCAAAGATGGCCCAGGTTTTAAAGAATTCCCGTTAGAGAGGTGATCGAACGTCGACTTTGACCACTTGCAGTTATATAACCAGGGACAAGTACCTGGCCAGTAGGTGTGACGTACGATATGGTCAGTATTACAGATATCTGTATGTTACCTACTACTATTATTGTTACTGTATCGTTATACTGGGTGTTAAATATACTGTTGTTAATAAAAAGTTCTACCAAATTACCTAGGCACTAATTTCAGCGTTGCGAACGACACAAAACCATGGGCCCCTAGCCAACTCTCATATATATCCTCCTTCCATTCTACGTATACCTAACAGCATTAGATGCAAGAAAGTCTCAAAAATTTTATGTTTTTTTTCCATATTCATCAGTTATACTGTGTGCCGCAGAGCACCTCAAATTTGGCGCCATTTTGTACTATTTATGAATAAACGCTTTATTTTAGTATTTTACAGCGATGTTACCCCTAAACCCAAAACATTAAAATTTTTCTAGCACATATATACGAGGTCTGTCCCAAAAGTATCTGACCTTCCTTCATATTTGTGTCATCGGGCTGGTGGCATCTTTCGAAGTAGTCCCCATTTGATTGAAGAATACATTCCCAACGGCCTTTCCACTTTTGGAAGCAGTCCTGGAACTCGTTTTTGGGTATCGCGTTTAGAGCGTTCGTCCTATTAGTTCTGACTGTTTTTTTGTCGGCAAATCGGTATCCTTTGAGCGGCATTTAATTTTGGGAACAGCCAAAAGTTGCAAGGAACTACGTCAGGACTGTACGAAGGCTGACGAATATTGCTGCACGAGGTTCACCGCTTGACCAAAGTTGATGCCGTTTTATTCTAATTGCGTCACTCAATCTTTTCATAACTTCGAGATAATATTCTTTGTTGATTGTCTGATGTTTAGGAGCATATTCGTGGTGCACAATACCCTCGTAATAAAAAAAAACAATCAGCAACGACTTGATATTGCTCCGACTTTGGCGCGCTTTTTTCGGTCGTAGCTCCGACGACAGTTTTCACTGTGAAGACTGTCATTTGTTTCGGGATTGTAACCATAAACCCACGATTCATCACCGGTTATAAATTTTTTAAGCAAATTTTTATCATTATTGACTATTTCCAAATTGTTCTGAGCGATTTCAAGGCGAAGGGTTTTCTACTCCACCGTTAGCAATTTCAGAATGCAAATTTTCAATTAAAATATTCCAAACACTAGTTTTTGGTATCCCAAGATCACATTTCAGTTCCCGCACAGCCAATCGACGATCTTCATTGATCGCAAGTCGCACATGTCCGATTATCCGATGCTTTTGTCGTCGTAGACCGCCCAGAGCCTGGGTTAGTATCGTCCTCAAATGCCGTCTTCTTCATTTCGATGGTCTCCGCACAGCTCTTTTCGAGTTTAAAGCAAAATTTAATGCAAATTCGTTACTCCGATCTTTCCGTCATTTTTTACAGTAGCAAAATGCGACAAACGTAAAAAACTCTTTGTAAACAAACACGCACTGCACGAGAACTAAGCTGTCCCGATTAGAACTGTGGCACCTAGGAAGTTCAGAGGGCATTAAAATTCTTAGGTGCAAAGATTTGAAGGGAGGTCGGATACTTTTGGGACAGGCCTCGTATTATTAGAAAGCTACAGAAACACTATTTTCACCCTTACATTTTCAGTATAGCACCCATAAGGTAAAAGAAGATAATTTCTTGAACTCGAAATGTTAAAGTTAAAATCCACATTGAAATTATGTTGCGTTACTGTTGCTATAATAAAGTTTCCACCAATATCAAAGCCTTGAAATTAAAAAACTAATCAGATTCCAAAAAAACTTTTGTTTTTTTTTTAATTCTAAACTAACCTTATCTTCATGCGCTTTTTCGTCCTGCCTCAACTGGTCTCGTACGTTAGAAGCTTGAGATTTTAAAGCGACAATGTTCAATGGAGCGACTTCGTGAAGATTAGCAGTTGTTTCTTCCAAAATTAATATGTCTTCAACAGGAATGAACCATTTTAGTTCAAACGTATACTTTTCATTTCGCCCCGATGACTAAAAAAAAATATTTAGTTTTTACTTTATACTTCAAATATTTTAGAATAGTACCTTGTATTTCGCACAGGCTATTACGTCATTGAACAGAAACAAGTGTCTTAACTTTCTGTGACCATCCACATACTCCACGATAAACGAGTTCTTTACTAACCTTCGTTGCGCTCTGTCGCTGGCCTAAAATTATAGGTTAGGTTATGTGTTATATGTAAAAATTTTTCTCCGCAGGTACTCACCGGAAATAGCGATTTCGTTTGTATCATATTAAACTGATCGAGGAAATTCTGCGTCAAATTCAGAGCTTCCGTTAAACTATGGTGATCAGGATGTGACTGAGGAACACACTTGAGAAGATCGTGTAGAACTAGTGCGTTTTTCTGCACCCTCGCGACGGGCTTGTGCAAGAGATCCTCTAGGCTAGTTGGCTGACCCGAAAGCTGTTTGCATGTAATATTCTTGGTTATGTGATTAAACTGGGAATTAGCCGCGCTACACTTGTGCACCGTATCTAACGCTTGACCATAATTGCTTAAAAAAGCTCCGTATAGTGATAAGTTGGACGCCTAAAAGTATAATAGAATAAAATTGTGAAGGATTCAGAGACAAATCGAGGTATTACCATTATTTTAAAGCTCTCCCCGATTTTGTTATCCCATTTCTGAGAATGCCTCTTTAATGCCTCTAAGAAGTTGGCGTGTAAATTGTATAATTCGGGTATTTTATAAAAAATTGTGTTTAGTTCCGCTTCACTGACGATGGGCTGTGATGTACCTATAGTCGCTTGTATCGCCTTCATATACTGAAATTGATAATATATACATTTATAAATATATGGGACGTTTCACATAAAATCGATCACGGCTCTCGCCAAAATAAATGGTTTTGGGCATACAAAAATTAATTCTTCCAAGTACTTTGCGATGTTATGTGGCAGAATTCGAATATCTAATATGACGGCCTGCAAGTGTAAAAAAAATTAGGATTTATCCAATAAACTCTCTCCAAAATCCGTCTCAAAATAACCTTAATGGGGACTTAGATATCGCTGTTCATGTACAGGTTCGGAAAGTTCCCATGGTACATCGGCCGTTACGTGAGAGCGATAAAGTAAGTCATAGAAATCCGTGCGATAGACAAGGATGGTTACATTGAAGACTTTTCATAATCTGAATAGTCAGTCCCACTTCTAACCTGAACGGGCCGTGACTATTCAGATTATGAAACGTCTTCACTATAGCCATCCTTGTCTATGGCACGGATTTCTTTACTTTGTCGCTCTCATGTAAAGGCAGATGACCATGTGGATTTTCCTGCCCTGTATGTTAAGTTATATTCAGAAGATTCAAGATGGCAGTTTTTATATAACTGCTTAGCAAGTCATAAACCACAGAACTCTTATTCAAATGTAGTTCAGTGGTCAATTTCACAAACAATACAAGTCATACTAGTCATTTCCTATGTTTTCGAAGTTGCTGAGTCATAAATTGAAGTCACTTCAATAGAATCGTACCACTTTCCAATCATAACCTCAAAAGATATTGAAAAATCACGACTTTTTATTCATACCGTGAATTAAATCATTTGAGACGAGTTGTTTCTAATGTTTTTGGGGTTGCTAAATCGTAATTTAAATTCGGTTCAATAGTATCTTGCCATGTTCTGATCCTAACCTCCAAAAAAATTTTAATCCTCGTAATGCTCCACATTTTCAATCTAAACCCCAAAAACACTTTTCCAAATCATGCAACAATTTAACCATGATTCCCTGCATTATCGATATTCTCGAGTAGTATTGAAAGATATCAGCTTCCATACCACTATGTCAGTCTCTTCATGTTTTTGTCTACAAGCAATGCCACGGATATTCAACGAACGATGATCCTCAATACTCTCGAAGATAGTCATTTTTAAGAAATGGGATTTTTTGCCATTATTTGCGTTTTATTACTTTTTTATTTTGTTTCCTGGGTACAAATGTCACTGATAAATCGGGACTGAAAAATTCGAAATATCCATGGGATTTGAACTCATGATCCCTTGAATGGCCTTGTTTTAGAGTAAACTGCCTTACCAACAGAGCCAAGGACCGCTATGACCTCGAAAACATAGAAAATTAAGATTTAAGTAGTATGAAGGAAAAATCGCAATATTTAATTTTTTTTTATCCAAGGATCAGAACGTGATATGGTTATTATCGAAACGACTTTAAATTATGATTTGGCAACCCCGGAAATATAAGAATTGACGAGTCTCTTAGGATTGATCGTGGTATTAATAAAAAGTCTTGATTTTTCATTTTTTTAAAAGGTTAATAGAATAGAAGTGTTTATTTTAAAATAAATCAAAAAAGAAATAAGATAATAACATGACATCGTATTATCGAGTCGATTTAAAATTACAATTCAGCTACTTTAAAAACATAAGAATGGACTAGTTCCGAGAGACATATCGCTCTCTTCTTCAGAAGTTACTCTGAAACTCAGTTTCTTATCTTATGAAGAAGATTACTCTGAAACTTTCAGAGTAACTTCTGAAGAAGAGAGCGATATATCTCTCGAAACGTCAAGAGTTGTAAATCGACGACGTGGCAACCTGCCCGAAAATCATTCAACCATTAACAACAGCCACGGAAGCCTACAAACAAAAATAAGACTCGACTAGCCTCGTAATTTTTCAATTTTTTTTTTTTTTTTGAGGAAAGTGATACGATACTATCGAACTGACTTCAATTTATGAATCAATGACTTCAAACACATAGAAAATGATTAGTTTGACTGTCTTGTCTGTGAAATCGATCATTGAACTGTTTGAATAAATAGAAGTCCCCATTATCTCCAAATTTTGACGAGCGCCGCGATCGATTCTATGTAAAACGACCCATATACAAATTTACAGACATTAAAAATTATAAATTTTTTAATTGCAAATTTATTTTAACCAACTGTTAAGACATTTGAATAAAAGATTCCATCACTTGTTTGGAAGAAAAAATAATTATTAGAACTGTGAATTAATTTTGATGGATTTACAATAGGTGAAAAAAAAAATTGTATAGCACTTTTTTGTGTCTTATATTTCAATATATCTTATACTAAGTAACATCGTCCTTATTTACTGGAAACGCTGATTAAATAATTTAGTAAGTCAATTCATCTACAATTAACATTAAATAAAATCTCACAAGGAAATATTGTTACATTACATATAATTTTGAAAACTATTATTTTTTTGTATAAAACTTATTTTTAAATATCAATAATTAAAATAATTGTCTGATACATCTCAATGAAGTAAAATTTTTTAATTCCAGTAAAGATAATAATTACGATAAGTTGCACTTACCTTTAATAACACACTCAGCCAGTCCACGTAGTTGCTTTCACTGTCGATTATGTTACAGAGTATACTTTTATACATTCTGTCCGGATCCCCTTTTATATCACCATCCTAAAATTACATTTAACTGAAAATAAGCACCTGCCTATTAGGTGGAAACCCATTTTACCTGACTAAACTTTCTTCTCGAAGCAGGCGTCATTGATTCCAAGGAACTGGAGCTCGCATACGAACTATTGTCATTGTGCCTAACCAGTTCCGCAATTTCTTCATGTTCGTCCTCACTACTACTGTGACTGTTGCCATTTTTCTTGGTAGACCTTAAATAAACGAAAAACAGGCTGTACTTAACATTTCAGATATTAAAACTATTTTATTGGATGGGATACAGTTTCCAATTTTCTGTTGCGGAACTGCAAATATTTTTAAATTCAAATCTAATCATTTCTTGATGAAAATACTGTCAAAAAACTATTTTTGTTGTAACCGAGCTTAAGGTCGACATTTTATAAAGAAGAATTCACACTTTTAGTAAAAATTTCTTTAATCGGTAACTTATATTCGTAGGACATTTGCCAGCCTATTATTGTACAAAGTTATTTGTAAATTACATTTTTATTATTATTATGACTATTTCAGTGTAACACTTAATTTAAAGATGTCATATTGCATCACATTTTTATATATTACAGAAAGTCGGTGCAGATACCACTCAAAAATGTTAATGTCAGTGCAACCCTGGCGAACAAAAAGATCCTAGGGCGACTTCTGTGAATATCACTATCTTTTCGACAGTATCCAAACTATATAGTCCAACCAAATTACACTTAGAGAAAAAGAAAATGTTACCTGGACTTTTATAAGTGGAAATGGTAAAAGGGCTTATAATAAACCTAAAAAAAAATAAATCCGCAAAAATAATTAAATTTTGACGAAACCACAAATTTTTTTATACAAAAAAATCAAGAAGTTTCCGAGATATTCATTTTTTCCGATCTGAAACACTTTTTTTTCAAAGACAAATTCTATATACAAAAATCGTCGTACAGAGTTCTGCCGCTGATAATTTTTTTCGTTTTGACATATATTTTTTGTTGAAATAAAAAAATCTGTAATCACGTTCAAAAACATTCTCAAAAATGCAAAAAAATAAGGAATTACTTACAACAATGAATTTTTCAGTAATTGTTTAAATTAAAAAAAATTTAAATACTGATTACACCATTCAAATCTATGGAAAATATTTAAAAAAACTGTGTCTCATTGTTTGACCCAAAACTTTATTTTAGTAGAATTTTTCTTTGAAAAAAAGTGTTTCAGACCGAAAAAATGAATATCTCGGAAACTTCTTGATTTTTTTATCTAAAAAAATTTGTGGATATTTAAGACACAGAAAGGTACACTTTCACCAAGTTTCATCAAAATTAAATTATTTTTGCGGAAATGAGAAATAAAAAACGAAAAATGAGAAAAAAACCTGTTTTTCGCATTTTTCTCGGAAATTATGAGGTTGGCTTAAAAAGTGACCTCTACAAAAGTTATAGATATTTGCATGATCTACAACTTTTGTATTGGATACCTTTTTGTTTGACGTCAACTTTTGCCATGATACAATTTTTCACAACTTTTCAACCCCCCAAATCAACCCTCCGCCACCCCTGCTCACGCATTTATTTATTTTTTTTTTACCATTTCCACTTATAAAAGTCCAGATAACAATTTTCTTTCTTTTTTGCCCTCTAAATGAGTTATTTCGATCGGTCTAATAGAAATGTTGTAATGTTAGGATTTCTTTAATTTTTCGTTGTGATAGACCACAGAAATCATAGCCACCTATGTAGACATCGGAAAATGTACCTTTTCTGTTCTGTCGAAAGTTTTGTAACAAAGGCAATAACATTTTTAACTGTGTGCTCAAAAATTATTCTTCAAAAACACAAAAGAAAAATTTTACTTAAGAACATTTCAGGGAAAACTACAGAATATTGAGTATTTTCATGAGAATTTTTGAGAATAATGAAAATTTTTATATTTGGAAGTTAATTCCCATTTGTGCAGTAAATAAATTTTTTCGTACAAATGAAATTAAATTACCTCCATTTTTTTTAAAATAATTTAGACAAAAGTTAAAAGAATTATAAAGGTGTTAGTCTTAAGTGGAACATCCTGTACAAAGAATGATATTTTAAAAATGTTTTAAGTAAGCCATTTGCAGGTTGAAATATTCAAAGTATCAACTTGAATTAAAACATCTTATTAGAAAAAAATACTAAATCAAATACAGTAGAACCCCGTTGTCTAGGAATTTGTGGTGACACGTTATTTTGTGTTTTTGTTCTGTGAAGACAGTATAACATCAAGTGTTGTGGCTAATGCTTCTAATCTACAGATGTTGCAAATATTCTATTAGCGTATTTTGAGTAAGTCAACATTTTAAACTTACGTAAAATAGGTCAGAAAATAAAGAAAAACAGAAAAAGTTAAATACGGACCAAAATGACTGATTGTACTAGGTACTTAAAATAAATGTATCCGAATTGCATTTTCACTGATTTTGTGCATATTTACCTATGTATTGCTCCGTTTCCTATGTAAAAAATAAATGTTTTGATTATCCGTGTTTTTCAATTTATCCGTGCCACGCTCAGTCTCGTAGATCACGGATAATCGGGGTTCTACTGTACATGACATATGTTACTTATATTTTCGAAATTAGAAAAACTAGCAGATTAAAAAAAAAATACAGCCTTGAAAGGATCACAACTTTTATAGTAAACAACATCTAAAATAAATGAGTTATCAGTGTGATTGCTTTGGGTGTCCTGTACTAATATAACTTGGACAACTTCTTGATCAACTTCATGGATAAGAAATTGGCGATATAATATAACTTTTAGAACATTATTTAGAACCTACGAATTTAAATATACCAACCCAGTAGGAGAAAAACACAAGAAACACATCAGAGATCTTAACATAACCTCAGTGAAGGAACCTGATATTATGTGACATTTGCATAGTTAGTTATTTATGCACATTCTTATAATGATTTCCCCAAGTGGTTTCCTCTACGAACGAATTAGGTGTCCTTATCTCATGAATATATAATTAGGCAAACTGATAACAATCAAAGTCTGCAGATGTTTAAATACTATTGTTTCCTATTTGGTGCGTGAAAGACTGGGCACTACACCTTTAATTTAATAAGGCCTTGGTTGTTAAAAAACTTCAGTAATAAGTTATAAAACACTTTAAAAAAATGAATTGAGAAATATGTAAAATATCTATTGATAAATAATTGACATTTTTGAGGTTTCTTATGTGGTTGATCATTTTGAGATAAATTACTAAAGTTTTTTTTATACGACTGCCTTGCAAAAGGGGGTTTTGCGCACGGAAAACACGCTCTGAAAACGGTATTTTGCACACGTCGTGTGCTAAACATTTTGCACACGGTTATGTCCTCTTTGCACACGCGTCTCCAGATTGTGATTTTTGTTTGATGTTGTCACCCAAATTATGCAATGTTTCAAGTTAGCCGAGTTTCATAGCAACCGTCACGGCTCCTTTATTTTGTTGATTAGATACTTCAAAAATTGTTGAATTCCCGAAGTTTGGGTGTGAAAATGTGTGATTCTGAACAGATTTTACAGAAAGCAAGCGAAATAAGTTCGGAACTGCTGCCCACAAAATCCAGAAGCAGGTATGAAGCTGAGTTAAGCCGATTTATGGACTGGCGACTAGCCAAAAATGTCCAAACTTTCTCAGAAAACGCAGTAATGGTGTATTTTGAAGAACTATCTATGAAATATAAATCTTCGACGTTGTCGACGATTTTTTCGATGCTCAAGTCAACATTAAGTGCCAATCACAACATAGATCTTGGAAGCTATAAAAAGTTGCAAGCGCTAATCAAACGAAAATCGGAAAACTACGTCCCAAAGAAGTCCCTATTCCTCACAGAAGATGATTTTTACCGGTTTTTGACGAAAGCATCAGACGACAAATATTTACTTATCAAGGCGGTGGTGACAGTTGGACTATCTGGGGCATGTCGAAGGGAGGAATTATGTTATCTCAAAATAGAAGACACCAAAGATTTCGGCAGTGCTATGCTGATTAAATTGAAGAATACAAAAACAAAGATACCAAGGTGTTTTACAATTACAGGAAACCTTTACACTATCTTAAAAAAGTACTGTGCTCTTCGTCCTCCTCATCTGAAGACAGGCAGGTTTTTTTAAACTATCAAAACGGAAAATGTTCAAGCCAAAACGTTGGCATTAACAAAATTGGAAACATGGTTAGGGAAATCGCCAAGTTTTTGATGCTAGAGAATCCAGAAAGTTACACGGGACATTGTTTTCTGCGTTCATCGGCCACAATTTTAGTCAATTCTGGCTCAAAGCTGATTGCCCTCAAACGCCATAGAGGGTGGAAATCCAGTACAGTTGCCGAAGGCTACGTTGATGACTGTTTGAGAAATAAAGTGGAAGTTTCGAAAAAGATATAGTCTTCAGTGTCTTCTGCTGCCACAAAACCAGGACAACAATCGTCTACTGGAATACAACAAGAAAACAATGGATGCACGCTGAAAAACTGCACTAAAAACACGACACCAAAAATATTCTCTATTACCGAAAACAAGGTGCACAATAATACTGCTTTTCCCAGTGTAACCTTGAAGGAATGTTCAAATGTTACCAGAAATATTAAATATTAGTTTCTTTTGTTAATGCGTTAGCAATTTTCTTAATAAAAACGAGTTAAATTAAAAGTTGTATTTAATTTATTTTGTTAATGCGTTGGCAATTTTAGTAATAAAAACGATTTAAATTAAAATTTGATTTTTGTGGTCTCTGTTTGCAGTCGTATAAAAAGTATCGTAAAAAACTCGTTTGAAAACCTCTTTGCACACTCGCTCGACTTATCGACCAATATGTCTCGCTCGTGTACAAAGAGTCGTTTTCAAACCTTGTTGTTTAATATTACTATAACATTATAAATATGAATCATGTGAAAAATGTCACTAAGAAGGACTGTTCTAATTTTTGTTTCCGATTCTAATTCATAGTTATTGTTTTATGTTATAAAATGTAATATACTTGCAAATTTTCATTTACTTTTAAACGTTTTCAGGAATTTTAATTTGAACACCCTGTATCTCGGAAACTAAATATTTTCTGACCTATTTTTATGCAGACTTTTGCCAGATAAAATAATGTAATAATAAAGCACCATAAATTCACTGAATATTACGCACAAAAACTGCCCTAGGTTATTAACAAATTCACGTTTACTTACTGAATGAAGTACTCAATATTGACGTAATTGGAGGTTCCCGGTGACTGTGGTTCCTGTAAAATTGGTGTCGAGACCCTTTTAGCATCTAAAGGTAATGTGCTGGAAGAACTAAATACATTTTCTATGCTGGAATGATTACTTTTAACCAAATTGTACTCCTCCTCAGGCGCAACCATATCATAGTAAGGTTCATCGACTGTCGCAAGAAATTCAGAAGAAGATGAAACCGAATCACTGTTACTTCTTCTAGTCTTGTTTTTAAGTGAATCAGGTCTAGTAGGTAATCTGAAAATATTATAGAATAATTTGTTTGTTAATATTATTAAAATACCGATAAAGGCTTACTTTGGAGGAGTTTTAACAGTTGGAGAATTCCCTTGCTTGAGTCCGTTAACTTCAATGACAGTGACGAATGTAGGATCGGGATCCGGGGCAGAAGGTTCAATTTTTTCAGCGTCACAAGAAGATTTCATTAATTGTTTTGAAATTTCACTAACGCACATGTTTGCTGAGAAACTTTCAGTTTCTTCTGAGTTCAATGGAATGCTTGTTGTATCATTACTATCCCTCTGCAAAAATACAAAACGTCATGTCTCACATTAGATAAATTTCTGTTAGAACATTAAACATGTATGTGATTAATGAAAGGTCCACAAAAAAATAATACAGGGTAATATAACAAATGAATTGTAAATATTCTGGTGCTCAAAAACCACAATACTAAATGTAATTTTATAAATTGCAATGAATTTATTTTATTAAATACAGTACACTCACGATTATGATAAAATTGTTTATCACAAGTTGTGTTCACCCAAGGGGAGTGATATTATGACTTATATTTTAATTTATTTGTGATATGTAAAATTTATTCAATTTTTTTAAATTTTATTAGCAAAATAAGTCGTCTTCATTTCATTTCTTTTTCTAGATCTGTGCTTACTAATTAAAATTACTCAAACATTATTTCATATAAGGCTGAGAACACAAATTGAACTTCATAGCAAAAACTGATACTAAATCTTTTATATTATGTTTCATGTCATCTATCATAACTCTTTTCGAAATGATATCAACTGAACAAACAGTAACCCATAAAAATTTAGGAAATACCAGTGGAATAATTAACCATACTTTTCATGGAACTTAATGTAAAATAATGTAACCTCATTATTACATAAAAAGCTCTCTCTATTAATCATTTATTTATTAATTAGGTACATTCTAAAAATATAAACAAAATTAACTGGCCACACCTACTTTTAGAAGTTAAAAAGTGTTGATAAAATGATTTGAGAGTACATTTATGGCTTGAAAGCAATAAATATTAGACTTTTATTAAAGAGTTAACAGAATATTTACTTTAGATATGGTATCTACAATGACATCACCAGCTTCATCAATTTCTTCACATTTTTCTTTTGCTAATTTTTTCTTATGTTGCTCCACATCACATAACAATCTCTCTAGGTATTCCACATAAAATTCTTCTTTTTCTAACTCTTCTTTCAGCAACGCCACTTTCTGTTTATGTTTAGCCAAGTTAGCTCTAACATCCTCCTCCCAAGCACCAGGCAAGGGGCTCTCAGGAAATCTCTGCAGCCAAACCTGCTGAAAATCACCGAATACACTCATCTCTTAGATTTTTTTTTCACATTATTTAATCCACAACTATTCAAATTTATTTGGGTGTTTCATATAATGCAAAAAAGCAACAAACATTTTTTTTATGTACCATCTACTTTCACTGACAAATATTAATACAAATGACAATTGACAGAAAAAAGAAAATATACATATACATATTTTTTGCGTGGTCTATGGTCAGAACCAAGGATGAAAGATATTAAGGTTTGTTCATTACGCCATTGGTCGCATTCAGGAAATCAGGTCAATGACAAATCGAAGAGTAATAGTGTACTGAACACACATGAAAATAACGATAAATAGTGGAGCAAGTGTCATCGAATGTCAATTCGTCAATTCTTTTACCATTTTCTATATTCGATATAACCACAACTATGCGATTATTTGTACTGAACTACAATTTTGATGAAATTTACATTGTCTGTTTGTTGTGTTATTCTCGTTATTCAAGTTTAGTTTGAATCTTCTAATCAATTATCAATTAATCTTATTTTAACATGGGATATGTTAATTAAACATTTCCTAAAAAGTTTTCATTTTGTAAAAGTCGAAGATCGAAAACATTTATATATTAACGTCAACTTATGCATTGTTCAGATAATCGTTAAAACACAGCGTCTTTGACACGATACGTTAAATTCAAATGCAGAGAACCTCGCTCGCCACTTGCTACTAGCGGGTTACGAACGTCGCCAAAAATAACGGTACGGGTTATGCAGCAACAGCAAATGTTCTGGATTTATTAAACACTTCGAAAAATCATCTTGTTCTTTTGACAACTGTGGAACAGCGCCAAAGTAGCAAACAGTGATATCGCAACACATCTCTAAATTCTTGTAGGATCTTACTGTAGTGTCAGTTCCTAGCGGGCAGCCGACCAGAGCACACGTGTTTTGTGAAAGTGTAGTGCAAGGAGCAAATTCTACCTGCCTTTATTAAGGCTACCTGGAAAGAATCCCTTTCTTTCCTTTTAATCACCGACCTAATCCCCGGCTTAAGCATAGACGCCGTCGGCATCTTTGTTACAGCACCTGTGCCGGGGTTATGCCCAG